ATAAAGTTAGTATGGGGACGATAAGATGCCCCCAACCCAGACTAATGTGACAGACTCTGACAATCCTCCGATCCTGTACTCTCTTCCCCCTGATACTCAGTCAGATGATCAACCTGAATGTCGTTATTCCCTACTTACACGACAGGTATTGAGAAATCCTCAAGTATCATTTGTAACTTCCAATTCAGATTTGCCTCAAATGCAGCATGAGTTAGCCAATGCTACAGAGTTTGATCCTCCCAGAGATGACACCCATTCTGCATATGCCAATCTTACCCTAGCAGAGTTGGGGTTAAATGTAAATAACCTGTATAGATGAATAATTAAAGTATCAACTTATCAGTATTCAAGAATTTTTTTTTGTGTTCATGTTCTCTCCGCATTCTGAGAGTTAACAGTCTAGATTTGCGTGCACCGAATCTGCCTTTCTGTTAAACACTCTTTCTTTGTATATATTCCTTCCTCAGAATCCGTAGATCACACGAATACAGATCGATCGATCAAAATTTTTTTTTATCATTTTGTAATCTCAATGTTGAGTTCATTGTTCATTTGTTGAGTTTTAAGTTGTAATATAGTATACCTTGTATTGCATTACAGTTTCAGTTACGTACGCTTTCATTCCAATGTTCTACTTATGTATCTATAATGTTCATGTTGTGTACTTTGACATTGTATAGAATCAGCCCAAGCCGTATACCTGCCATCTCTAGTTTGTATTAGTTGTATGTCGGGACGACATACGTTAGCGTCGCCGAGCTCTCAGTAGTAGTAACCAGTTACCAGTCTCAGTAGTAACCAGTTACCAGTAACCGTCCGTTGACTCAACGACCAACCGTCTTGAGTCACGGTCTTCATATTGTGCTGAGCTGACACTATTTCAAAACACCCACTACGGGGTACTGGCCAGCCGCCTAGCCAGTTTTACGAGTGTAGCCAAGGAGAAAGGTAACGGCTGCGGGCTCTGTCCACATAACAGTAATTATACGTATAACAGCCTACGTGAGTATTTCTACCCTAATCCACGTATCGAACTCCCACATGATAATAGCATCTGCTAAGAAAATGATAGTATGGATAATGAGAACCTTCAAAACTAGGGATGCCAAGCCCATGATTCTCTTCAAATCGCTTGTTCTCGCTAGGCTGGAATACTGCTGCACATTAGCCCCTTGACTGTTGCAACCCCAAATCCTGAGGTGTCTCCTGATGTCGCAAAATTTCCAAAAAGAAAAAAAAATTATTTTTTCTTGTGAAATGATAGAGAATCTTTTCCCGATTGTAATGACACCAAAAAAAACGAAATTTGATGGAAAACTGACGGAATTACGCTCTCATGAAGTTAGCAACCTCGGTGATATTTACGAATTGGTGATTTCGCTCACTTTGAGCCCTATTTTTGGCTAATTCCATTGTTCCAGTTGGCCAAACTCATAGCTATTTCTTTAGAACTCCATTTTTTTCTATTGATTGAGTACAAGAAACTGCCCATTTACCGATTTCAACTACCCAATATCGTGGTCAGAAATTTGCAATTTGGCCAATTTTACTAAAATTAAAAAATATGACAATTTCAAAATAGGGTCCAGAATGAACAATGCAGACATTCCTGGCTCTGATATTACTCTTGCTTTCTATTTTGAATTTTTATTCAAACAAAAAAATGCAAGATTTACTGTTATGCAGACTACTGCAATATTGTATAATTGTATAAATAATGTCAACCCATTCATGACTGCATATTAGAATGGCTACTTGGACATTTATTGGAAAATGGCATCATTTGTTTACTTTTGAACATCGGCAAAAATCAAACATTTCCCCTTCTTTGAGCTCCATTTCAAGGTTCTTTTCATAGTAAAAACCAATCAAAGTCACCTCTATTTCTATAATATGTTTTCCATTCTATCAAATGAGACCAAGAAAACGAGAATACAACCATAAATACTTAAGAAAATAGACCACAAAGTTGGCATTTTAATTAACCCTTTGACTGTTTTGGTCGTATATATACAGTGGACCCCCGGTTAACGATATTTTTTCACTCCAGAAGTATGTTCAGGTGCCAGTACTGACCGAATTTGTTCCCATAAGGAATATTGTGAAGTAGATTAGTCCATTTCAGACCCTCAAACATACACGTACAAACGCACTTACATAAATACACTTACATAATTGGTCGCATTCGGAGGTGATCGTTATGCGGGGGTCCACTGTACGTCTTATGAGCCGTTTTTTATGTATATATGTATATTAAAATTCTAGGGGCTTCAAATCAAGCAGGAGAAAGCTGGTAGGCCCACATGTGAGAGAATGGGTTTGTGTGGTCAGTGTGCACCACATAAAAAAAAATCCTGCAGCACGCAGTGCATAATGAGAAAAAAACTCCGACCATTTTTTTAATTAAAATGCCGAATTTGTGGTCTATTTTCGTATAGTATTTATGGTTGTATTCTCGTTTTCTTGGTCTTATTTGATAGAATGGAAAACATATTATAGAAATAGCAGTGATTTTGATTTGTTTTACTATGAAAAGAACCTTGAAATGGAGCTCAAAGTAGGGGAAATGTTTGACTTTTGCCGGCGTTCAAAAGTAAACAAATGATGTTATTTTCCAATAAATGTCCAAGTAGTCATTCTAACATGCAGTCATGAATGGGTTGACATTATTTATTCTCCAGCTTGCATAATTTGCTTCCATTGCTGCAAATGCAGTATGTCACTCACATTAAGATTATCTTATATGCTAAAATAAAATAATACTGATGATATGGTATGATGTATGGTATATAATTTTTGTATTTAGTTTTTCATGGCTAGGTGTTTTTGAGTCAGTAACGTAAATAATGCTTATGTAAAATAATCATTTTATAATATGATATCAGTTACCATGGCTTATTTTTATTTAATTTTCAGGAAAATGGAAGTGACGATCCCATAGTGCACAACCTTCCAGCTACAATGATGGTTCCGGATCTGTGGCCCAGTGTACCTGTTATTGCCATCAGCAGAAATCCAGTCTTTCCCGCGTTTCATTAAAATTATAGAGGTATTCTGCATTTTTTATGTTGAAAGGTTTGAAGGGAATTTTTAAGCAGGTTTCAGTATTAACCCTCTCATTGTTGATATTATCCGAATTGAAACTTCTTCTGTTTCATCATTTCTTAAAATGATATAATTACATCTTCTAAAAGGCTAAGGTAATATTGTCCTAAAGATAATGGCACTAAAATGCAAAATTTTATGTAGTACTGTAATGCTTATGGTGTAATACTTATACTGTAATACTTATGCTGTAATACTTAGTGTGTGTAAAGGTTGAAAGTTGAAAGTGAACATAGATAAGAGTAAGGTGATGAGGGCATCAAACGATTTAGATAAAGAAAAATTGGATATCACATTGGAGAGAGGGGGGTATTGGAAGAAGTGAATGTTTTCAGATATTCGGGAGTTGACTTGTCAGCGGATGGCTTTATGAAGGATGAGGTTAACCATAGAACTGATAAAGGATAAAAGGTGAGTGGTGCATTGAGGTATATGTGGAGACAAAAACATTATCCATGGAGGCAAAGAAGGGAATTTACGAAAGTATAGTGGTATAAAACACTCTTATACGGGTGTGAAGCTTGGGTTGTGAATGCTGCAGTGAGGAGGCGGCTGGAAGCAGTTGAGATATCCTGTCTGAGGGCAATGCGTGGTGTAAATGTTATGCATAGAATTTGGAGTGGGGAAAATTAGGAGGAGGTGTGGAGTTACTAAAAGTATTAGTCAGAGGGCTGAAGAGGGGTTGTTGAGGTGATTAGTCATTTACAGAGAAGGAACAGAGTAGAATGACTTGGAGAGCATATAAATCTGTAGGGGAAGGAAGGTGGGGCAGGGGTCGTCCTCGAAAAGGTGGAGGGAGGGGGTAAAGGAGGTTTTGTGGGCGAGGGACTTGGACTCCAGCAAACATGCATGAGCGTGTTAGATAGGAGTGAATGGAGATGAATGGTTTTTGGGACCTGACGAACTGTTGGAGTGTGAGCAGGGTAATATTTAGTTAAGGGATTCAGGGAAACTGGTTAGCTGGACTTGAGTCCTGGAAATGGGAAGTACAGTGCCTGCACTTGAAAGGAAGGGGTTTGGGATATTGGCAGTTTGAGGGACATCTAAACTGTCATATTTGAGCGCCCTTGCAAAGGCAGTGATTATGTATGAGTGATAGTGAAAGTGTTGAATGATGAAAGTATTTTTCTTTCTTTTTGGGTTTTTCTTTCTGGGTCACCCTACCTCAGTGGGAAATGGCCAATGTGTTTAAAAAAAAAAACTTATGGGCTTTCCAGGAACACCTCAAAGTCCTGAGTACTGAATGTACTTGCTGGAGTGGGTATGATAACATATATGTGGAAAGTACCTGAGGACCTGATCCCAAATTTGCCATAACAATATACTGGAGTGAGAGAGAGAGGGGGAAAATGTGAGAAATGGACCTGGTGAAGAGCAGAGGCACAGTAAGAGAACATTGTATCAACATCCATGAGCCCACCCTGTTTAAACTCTCTACCACAAGATATCAGAAACATTGCTGGAACAAGTGTAGAAGTCTCCAAGAAGTAATTGGGCATGTACCTTTGCCAGTTCAACCAAGTTTGTTATGGATATGTAGGTCAGGAGGCCATCAACAGCAACAGCAGACATTCTTCCTGAAATGCACTGCATGCTAGTGGCCTTCTTTTGTGTTTAAAAATTTATTTTATTATGTGTACACCACATTTTATAATACTGCAGAAAAAAGAGTTTAAGTGCCAGACAACCCTAGCCCAGGGCTAGGTGGTTGCAAGCGGCAGCAGCCTGGTCGACCAGGCAGACACCAAATAAACTTGGCCCAGGGCTAGGCTATGGAGTAGGAAAACTTGAAATCCTTCAAAAGTATATGAAAGGTACAAGTTAGAGGTCAGGTCAGGTAGCACTTTACGTAACAGCAAGCTTGCCCACTTTGAGGCCTATTTTAGGCTATTCCAGTGCTAAAACTACTCATTTCATGGAGATTTTTCTAATACATCTTCCTTATTTCTTGTCTAATAGGCCATGATCAAGGGTGCTTAGTCATGGTTTAGGCCCTCCAATTATTGAAGTAGATCTAGTAAAAACCCAGAAAATGCATTGAGGGGCAGGGTGTATCCCGGCTCTTCCTCAGGAAAATTGCCACACATTGACCATTTCTGCCACTTTAAGGCTTATTTCTGGCTACTTCCAGTCAGAAACTGACCAGACTCTTCTGAATTTCTTACTTCAGGCTACTTCCAGTTTGAAACTGACCAGACTTCTGAATTTCAGTAGGATGTCTTCTGGTCTATCAGTTGGCACCAAAAAAAAAAAAAAAAAAGCCAAGAAAGCCATGAAAACTATCCATCGTGGGGGCAGAATTTCTTTTGTACTTTACACATTCACTGCACAGACTCATTCTCTCAAAATATAAAAAATAAAAAAAAAAAAATAAAAAACTTCATTTCTTTGCTAACCTGGAGAGAGTTCCGGGGGTCAACGCCCCCGCGGCCCGGTATGTGACCAGGCCTCCTGGTGGATCAGAGCCTGATCAACCAGGCTGTTGCTGCTGGCTGCACGCAAACCAACGTACGAGCCACAGCCCGGCTGATCAGGAACCGACTTTAGGTGCTTGTCCAGTGCCAGCTTGAAGACTGCCAGGGGTCTGTTGGTAATCCCCCTTATGTATGCTGGGAGGCAGTTGAACAGTCTCGGGCCCTGACACTTATTGTATGGTCTCTTAACGTGCTAGTGACACCCCTGCTTTTCATTGGGGGATGTTGCATCGTCTGCAAGTCTTTTGCTTTCGTAGTGAGTGATTTTCGTGTGCAAGTTCGGTACTAGTCCCTCTAGGATTTTCCAGGTGTATATAATCATGTATCTCTCCCGCCTGCATTCCAGGGAATACAGGTTTAGGAACCTCAAGCGCTCCCAGTAATTGAGGTGTTTTATCTCCGTTATGCGGGCCGTGAAGGTTCTCTGTACATTTTCTAGGTCAGCAATTTCACCTGCCTTGAAAGGTGCTGTTAGTGTGCAGCAATATTCCAGCCTAGATAGAACAAGTGACCTGAAGAGTGTCATCATGGGCTTGGCCTCCCTAGTTTTGAAGGTTCTCATTATCCATCCTGTCATTTTTCTAGCAGATGCGATTGATACAATGTTATGGTCCTTGAAGGTGAGATCCTCTGACATGATCACTCCCAGGTCTTTGACGTTGGTGTTTCGCTCTATTTTGTGGCCAGAATTTGTTTTGTACTCTGATGAAGATTTAATTTCCTCGTGTTTACCATATCTGAGTAATTGAAATTTCTAAGGTTACAATGTTTGTTTACATTTCATAATTTGATTGGTACAAAGAAAGCCATTGTCATGCCAAGGCATTTCGGGCAGACTTAACATAATGCAGTGGACCCCTGACCAACGAAGGCATCGTCTAATGATAATTTGACTAACGAAGTGTTTGAGCGCAAAAATTTTGGCCGACCCAAAGATGAAAACTCGACCAACATGATTCGTCCCGAACACGTCCACATGTCCGTCTGGCCTGAGCGCACCTTAGCTGCCCTGCCTTCAGTTAGTGTGCCAGTGTTTACAAGCCAGTGTGGTCGCATCCACGCATACATTCAGTACATTTTGTTTTATTCCAGTGTTTTTAGTGCTTGTAACTGCTAAATAAACCACCAGCTTCTTGTGCCAACCCTGTGGTAAAAAGGGTGAGAATTATAATTGAAATAAAGAAGGAGATCATCACAAAGTATGAAACTGGAGTGCGTGTCTCGAGCTGGCCAAGTTGTACAACAAACCCCAATCAACCATCGTACTATCTTGGCCAACAGAAAGGCAATCAAGGAAGCTGTTGTTGTGAAAGGTGCAAGTTGTTTTCAAAACACAGATCGCAAGTACTCGAAGATGTGAGAGACTGTTATTGGTGCGGATAAATGAAAAACAATATCGGGAGATAGCATTCTAAAGCGATCTTAAGTGAAAAGGCAAGGCAGTTGCATGACAATATAATTAAAAAATGCCTGCAACTAGTGGTGATGTGAGTGAATTTAAGGCCAGCAAGGTTGGTTTGAGAGTTTTAAAGGGAATCGTAGTGGCATACACAGTGGATAAGGCATTGTGAGGCTGCCAGTTCAGACAAAAAAGCAGCTGAAGAATATGTGCAGGAATTCCAGGGGTACATAGAAGCTGAAGGATTGCAACCCCAACAAGTGTTTAATTGTGATGAAACGGGCCCTGTTTTGGAAGAAAATGCCAAACAGGACCTACATTACACAGGAGGAAAAAGTACTCCCAGGACACAAGCCTATGAAGGACGGGGTTTTCTTTAACCCTTCAGGTCCAAGGCCAAAATCTGAAATGGTGCTCCAGTGTCCAAGAAATTTTGAAAAAAAAAAAATTATTTTTTCTTACAGAATTAAAGAGCATATTTTTGTGAAGGTAATAAGACAAAAAAAAAATTTGATCAGTACTTACCGAGATACAGTCCCAAAAAATTTGGTCAAAAATGATGTGGTGGCGGCAACATCGACAAATTTCCACATACTCGCATTACTTATTTTGCGTTTTTATTGTTTTTCTTTTCTTTTTCCCAAATTTTTTTTTATTCCTACTAAAATTTGGGGCCTGAGAGACCAATACTGTATATAATGTATATATATAAAACTCACTGTATTGAAAAACAATAACTGCACTAAAGTTATTATATATTATTGTTTACCACTGTTGTTTTTTTACAATAAACATGCACAAATATTGTGAAAAACTAATGTTCATCATATATTTACCCTATTTACAATACTGGACATGGTTTTAGAACTGCTGGAGCTTGTGGAACTCCTTGGGAAAAAAGGCATCATGCACAGAGGCACCTTACATTCCTCACACAAAACCCAGTGTCTTTGCGTCTTTGTTGCCGTCGTTTTGTTTGTGCACAGATGATGCATCTCTTCTGAGCAAAATTTTTTCTGAGTTGAAGGAAGGTTGTATTATGAAATGATCACCTTCCTCCCCAAACGGGTT